AATATTTATTTATTTATTTTGTGTCTGTGTGTGGCCAGCTCAGCCCACCAGGGGGCAGGACTGGCTGGCATGTGGTGCTGGGGGATTGAAACACGGTCCCTGTGCTTTGCTTAGCTTAAGTTTAGCTTGCTCTAAGTAGGTGCTTTAGACCACTGAGCCATCTCACCAGCCCCTCCTAACCAGTTTTTAATGCAGTACTTGGGATTGAACCCAGGCCCTTTACACTGGGCTACATACCCCAGTCCTTTATTTATTTAACAAGGTCTCACTGTATAGTCCAGGCTGGCCTTGAACTCACAAGGATTCTTCTGCCTCAGTCTCCTGAGTGCTGGGATTACATGTGCATGCCACTATACCCGGTTTCCCAGTCCTTTAGTTTTTAATTCTTTTTTGTTTTGTATTTAGGGAAGGGTCTATAGGGTGTTCAGGGTCTTACTACTAGATCAGACTCGTAGTGATTCTCCTGTTTACAGCCTCCCAAGAGCTGGGATTACAGGGGCACGCCACCATGCCCAGTCTCAATTGCAGTTTCAGCATGCCCCGGGGGTGGGGCTGGCAGGGCAGGCCCGGGGATGAACCCCTGGCCCCTGCACCTGCTTGCAGGCTCTTTAATTTGCTGAGCTATTTGGCCTTTTCTTGATTTTTTGAGACAGGGTCTCACTATGCAGTTCAGGCTGGCCCTGAGTTCACTAGTCTAAGCTGACCTTGAGCTCTCAAAGATCTTCCTGCCTCAGCTTCTCAAGTGCTACAGGCCTGTGCTACCACACCCTGCTTTGAATTTGTTTTTTTTTTTGGTACCAGGAATCTAACTCAGGACCTTGTGCTTGCCGGGTGGACACTGTTTCCATTGAACTATCTCCTCAGTCCTTAATTTTTAATTTTGAGATAGGTTGTTGCTAAATTGCCAAGTTGCCCAGGATGGGTTCAAACTTGCAATCCTCTTGCCTCAGCCTCCCAGAGTGCTGAGATTATAGATATGTGCCACCGCATCTGGCCCATC